TAACACATGCCTGTTGGGTTGTTTTTTTCAAGAGCCTTCCAAGAGCATCTTCAGAGATTGGATGAGGTCCTTTTTAAACTTCGTCAGGCTAATCTTAAGGTTAAACCGTCTAAGTGTACCCTTTTTGCCTCCCAAGTGCAATACCTGGGCCATGTTATCTCTGCTGAGGGAGTGATGGCAGATCCATCTAAGGTAGAAGCAGTACGTGCTTGGCCTACACCTAAAACTCAGACTGAGGTGAGGAGTTTTGTAGGTTTAGCCTCTTATTATAGAAGATTTATTAAAGGGTTTGCTGAGATTGCTCGTCCTCTTCATCAGCTCACCGAAAAGGGAAAAAGATTTTGTTGGGGGGAACAGTGTCAGGAGGCTTTTCAGCAATTAAAAGCCAGTCTGACTGTTGCTCCTGTTTTGGCCTATCCAGATCCTAAAAAGTCATTTATTTTAGATACTGATGCCAGTGATGTAGGAATTGGGGCTGTATTGTCTCAAGAGGATGGGGGTTTGGAGCGGGTGGTGGCATATGCTAGTAGAGCTTTGACTAAACAAGAAAGGAAGTATGCCACTACAAAGAAGGAGCTTCTTAGTGTGGTAACTTTTACAAAGCGGGCAGGATAACCCAATAATCCCTGAGGACCGGACTGCTAAACGATATCCCGAGGTCCAAAGTCGTGCAGAGGAAGAATATAAATTTGTATGGGGGTATCATCAACCTGATGCTCCAGAGGCTGCCCAGATAAGGGAGAGGGCTGTTGCATCCAGTATCGAAAGAAATCAGAGATCAGAGTCTGCTGTGGAAGGTGGGCTTTCTGGTGGAAATTTACATCCTGGTGCTGTGGACACTGGTTCGGGTGAGGTGCAGCAGGAGAGTGGGGACCAGAGGATGGAAGCTTGAGGCTCCCTTCCAGAGCCATGTCCACAAAGGATTCAGCCAGCTCGTTCTTGGAGACCACCAGCTTGGACCAGGGATTATAATTTGATGTGACTCGAGGACGAGTCCGGTCTATCCGAGGGGAGGGGATAGTGTGATGAACGCTGGGGGAGTTATTTTCTTAGTTGGGCTTTGGCCCCGCCTATAGGAACCTTTTTGCAGCATGTTCTCTTCTGATTGACTGAATGTATGGATAATTGAACTCACCTGGAGGACATTTAAGGAGGAGAACAGGTGAGAGGAAGGGTTTTTTTGTTCGGCTGAGTGAACGTGACGGGTTTCTGGCGCTCAGGGGAAGATGGGGACGCTTTGTGTTGCTCGAGACCATTAGGGTTTGTCCGGCAACGAAGATAGCTAGATAGATTGAATTTGTGTAGTTAGATAATGCTGGGGAGGGTTTAGGAGCGCTGACCATATGTTCCAAGGGCGTTTCAAAGAGACTGTATTGCGCAAAGAGGACTCGTCAGTATTACAGATATTGTGATTCCCGAGGAGAAGTGTGCTGTGTACCAAAGACTAATTACTGCCAGTGACGTTGTGATTAATTGCTGTAACTGCTGGACGAGAATAAAGCGAAGAGGAGCGCGTGCTTTCTTTGAAGATATTGATCCGGCACGGCTGATTCCTTTCCCTAGACCCCGGGGTGGGGTCTTAATTGTGTCCTGGAAACGGGGAAGTGTTTTACATTTGAAGTCTCTTCACGTGTTGTGTGAGTGTGTATGGTAGTTGTGAGTTTTAAAGTTTATATGAACATGATTTCTCCGTCTCCGTGTACGGGACTGGGGAGGCGCTGATCTTTTCACCTGTTAAACTGATTGTTTGATCACGATTTCTAGTGTGCCGTGCGGGGCTGGGAATAACCACTAGAGTGCAGTGTAGTGCAGTGTTGAAGTTTCACTTGTGTAGCGCCATTTGTCCTAGTGTAGGTGTACAGAGTGAAATGTTCGTTGGACTTATTTAAATGTCTCTTTACATAACGGTTATATTTTTCTATGTACAATTGTCAAATAAAGTGATAATTTTCTATAAAATCCTGGTGTTGTGATGTACCCTCTGGCCTCCATTAATTTGATTGAACCTCTTTAAGTTAAAATAGAGGTTTATTACACTATGATGCCATTTTACTGCTTATAAACATAGCATATGTGTTACAATATGAATCTTCTATTTGATTGTTGGAAAAAAAAACTCTTGGACACAGTTCAATGCATAAAAGAAGATTTTTTAGTGAAATGTCACACATACAGTATTACGGTCAGGTCGGCTACATTAGCCTAGAGATTTAATAGTATTGACATGAGTTGACCAGTAAGCGGCAGCATGGTAAAGATTTTCCTTCTCATGGTACTGAAACGGAGGTGTGTAATGGTAAACCCTCTTTGGGGAAAGTGATATGAAGCAAGTTTTAAATCTGTGTATAATCACTCTCAGTTTTACCACAAGATATTACATCTCAGCATTGTCATTTCGTTCATTATAATATGTGGTAAACAATACTGTTGTTCCCCTCTCTAAAAGTGATCAAACCCTGTCTTTCACCTTAAAAGAGCTGTGTGGTTAAGCTGTGCGGTCCCTTTCATGATGCTTGCAATTATTTCTGCATACAAACTGCATGTGGCATCCCACAGTGAAACAAAACAGTAGTTTCCATTTAGCAAAATGTTTCCCAATCTGCATAGTTTCCTTCACATGGCTTCTAGACATAAAATGGTGTTCATCTCATTTCTTTTGTCAAGCCAGTGAGATTTTCATTATCTAATGGTACTATCCACAAAGAAATGTGCTCCATTAAGGAAGAAGGTTTGAGTAATATTGAGCTGCAATGAAACTCAGATTTACAGACCAACATGAATATTTGTATTATAATTGCCTTTGAATGGGGATCGTAGTAATGTTGTAATGTTTAAATGTAAGACAACTTATTCTGTAACGGATGCAATGACTACAAATTATTTAGTCATCCTTAAAGGATGGTTCACTCAAAAATAAAAATTCTGTCATCGTTTACTCCCCCTCATGTTGTTCCAAGCCTGTATGACTATTGTGAGGAAAGTTGGTAACCAAACAGTTTTGACTACTACTGTATGGACAAAAAACAAAGAGAAATTTCTCAAAATATCAAAGAAATGTTTTTCACAGAAGAAAGCATGTCATACAGGTTTGAAACAACATGAGGCAAAGTGAATGATGGCAGAATTTGTTGGTTTTGCTTTTAAACTATTTGTTTAGAAAGTTTCACTCGAGTCGTTTTTGACAGAATAGTGTGCATGACTTGAAATTGACATTTGAAATGAGAATGTAAATGTTGTGGTTATTAATCATAGGCCACTGAGTCAAATGAGCAATCCTTGCAAGTATAAAATGGTGGCAGTGCATCTATATCTTTCCAACTCTGTCACCGAGACGCCCCTCTGTTTGTGGTTTCCTTGTTTCATGCTCAGGAAGTCCTTTTTTCTGTCTGCCACATATAATTGTTTATATTGTCGAGTGTGTTTTCCGGAACTTATAAAAAAAAAATTATATATATATACACATACATACAGTGGGTACGGAAAGTATTCAGACCCCCTTCAATTTTTCACTCTTTGTTATATTGCAGCCATTTGCTAAAATAATTTAAGTTAATTTTTTTTCCTCAATGTACACACAGCACCCCATATTGACAGAAAAACACAGAATCGTTGACATTTTTGCAGATTTATTAAAAAAGAAAAACTGAAATATCACATGGTCCTAAGTATTCAGACCATACATACATATATAAAAATTAATATATTAAATGTAATTATATTAAATAAGTTCCATAGAAACACACACACAAACAGTTTCATCTAAGACAAGAAAAACAAGTGAAAATAAGAGGTGAAATTAATAATGGATGCGATTAAATGTTTCTTTGTGCATAAGCATCTTAACTTTCTATCAACAACATCACACCAAAAGCAGTTTTTCATATGCAATCTTAGATCTGAGTGCAAGTGACGTTCACAGATTGTCTGTTGTGGTGCAAAATGTTTCCAAGTTGAAGTAACAGTTTAAGTCACGGAAAATGTTGTGTCGAGTGCTGTTGACATCCTAACTAGAAGTTTATGTGGGTTTATTACATTCAAGTGATCATTTATGAAGCAACTGTCTTTCTTTAAGGCTACACTTCAAATGTTCTGAAAGGGAATTTGTAAACAGCTCCTCTTCACCCTGGGGAGTGTTCATAACATCAGTTCAAACAGCAATAATGACTGTCTGTCTGCGTAATGAAAATAAATTTGTAATGATAATTTGAGAGAGAACGTGTGTGTACATAACCTCAGGTTGCTAAACTATTAGTAAATCACTTTGAAAATGCATCTGACAGCTTGCTATCTACTGTCTTACCAAAAATAAACATGATCATCAGTATAATGCTGAAGCTATACTATATATAGTTAACAGATGGAAAATGAAAAAATATGGAAGCTAGAGGTATATTAATGCAAACTATTTTACTATAAAAAAAGCGAATGTGCAAAAATAATGTATTTCATTAAGGAATATCAAAAAAAACAAAAAAAAACAATTCATGTGAATATCTAGCCAAAAATGGGACGTCCATGTGCTATAAACAGCACCGCCAATAGAGAAACAGTTGAGGTGTTCAGTGAGTCATGGTGTTTGCTCATCTTGAAACACATTATGTTCTTTGAATCATGAATTCTTTCAGATGAACTCCACAGCTGATTTGATTCACCGCCAGCTATTTCCAGACATACAGTAGAAGCGCTAGTAATATCTGAGGAAAAGTCTAAACGAACACAGATTTACCAGATAAACTCAGTGACAGATCTGCTCATAAAACAGCAGTCAGGCAAACACATGTGTGTTGTTCTTCACTTGTAATACGCATTTCCGACTCTCTGATAACGGGAATTTTTCAAGAGGCCATTCTTTTCGTCTTCCTCCCATAATTTTTTCAACTTTCCTGTTTCTCACATAGCTGTATTTCCTTCTATTAGAGCACTCTGAGACAGGAACTGCCACCCCTGCCTCCCTCCCACATGCTTTTTCTGCCTCACTCTCTCTTTTAGAACCACACACATTCTCATGCTTGTTCCCTCGGTTCATTTATCGCGAAGCGGTGTTTGACAGTGAGCCTGTCTCTGGACGGTCTGTTTCAGCGTGGATGCTCTCTGGTCTCATCCTTTCCTCTCTTCAGTATTCTGTTGCTGTGGTGGGACGTCTAGCCACATTGATCTTCTGGGGTCAGACTTCACCTCCAGCTCAGGATGGAAGCAGTGGCTCTTTACAACTTTTGTGCCACGGAAAGTGACGAGCTTAGCTTTCAGAAGGGAGACGTACTTAAGGTAAGAGCAGTTTTGTGTTGGTTTATGCATGCAGACCGATTGTTTGCCGAATGATAGGATTTGCTTATTGTTTTTTCTTCCACTAGATCACTAATATGGAAGATGATCCTAACTGGTACACTGCAGAGTTGGTGAACAGGAAGGGCTATGTACCTAAAAACTATATCAGCGTAAAGCCACACATGTAAGTACAATGTCTGTAAACCTTGGAGAGTATTGATTTGACTTGTGTTGGTATTGACTTTGGTGGGTATAGTCTTGATACAAAAGTGTATTATCATATTCATGTATGAGAAATTTCAGTATAAACTTCTCATCAAATTCTTCCAGGACCAAATTATTTAAGCTGTTATATTTTGTTTTTATTTCTTTACATTATTTTATAGCTCTATGATGTCAGTATATGCCATATACACAGTAAACATACACACAGCATAAAAAAAAACATATTATTATTGATGTTGAAAACAGTTTTTGCTGATTTATATTTTGTGTAAACCATGATACACAACCATTCAAAACTTTGGAGTAAGATTATTTATTTAGTTTTTTTTTTTTTTTTTTTAAATATTAATCATTTTATTTGGCAAGGAAGCATTAAATTGATCAAAAGTGACATTAAATATGTTTATAATGTCACAAAAGATTTATATTTCAAATACGTGCTGTTCTTTTGAACTTTCTATCCTTTAGAGAGTCCGATTTCCACAAAAATATTAAGCAGCAAAAACTTTTTTCAAGAGTAACTGAACTTCAGGAATAATTAATAACAGCAGAGCATCAAATCAGCATATTAGAATGGTTTCTGAAGGATCATGTGACACTGAAGACTGGAGTAATGATGCTGAAAATACAGCTTTAACATCACAGGAATATTTAACATTTCAATATTCAAATAGAACAGTTGTTTTAAATTGTGATAATATTTCAGAATATTACAGTTTTAACTGCATTTTGTAACCAATAAATGCAGCCTTGGTGAGCATAAGGGACTTCAGCTGGAGGCTCTTTGGGTTTTCTGCCTCTTCCTGGACATGGATTGTACTTTGTTGTTGTTGTTGTTGTGTGTTTATTGTACTTATTTTATCTTTGTGCAAAATAAATAAATAAACAAAAGAAAAAAATTTTTTTTCATAATATTTCAGAATATTATAGTTTTTACTGTATTTTGTAACCAACAAATGCAGCCTTGGTGAGCATAAGAGACTTCTTTTAAAATCATTAAAATATCTTAAATATTTAAAACTTTATTTGCTTATAAAGAATTTTAGCAGAAACAGCTATGAAAGAGCAACCTTTGTTAAACACAAATTTCCTCTAGTTTGCCAGTAGTTTTCCACATACTAATAAAGTGTATAAAAACACACACAATGCTATTTAAGTTACAGCAACCTTTCTAGCTGTTTATTTCATGTCTAATAGCGCTGCTGTGCACCTCTATCTCGCCCCCAGATGGTTTGTGGGCCGTATCTCCAGACATGTGGCCGAGAATCGACTGCACCAGCAAGAGTGTGGAAGCTTCTTAGTAAGAGAGAGTGAGAGTGCACCTGGAGAATTCTCCATGTCGGTGAGGTAAGACACTTCCCAGCATTCCTAGCCTAGTCTGCTCTATGCGCTGTTGTTGGGGTCACTGTAATTTGTTGTTTGCTGCATTGCCTCATAAAAGCATAACTAGAAATTGAATAATGAGAAAAATTGGATAGGGTCCATCAAAACCCATCTGACCTACTTTACAAGGATGCCAATATCCCCTGCTGTTTAAGAAAATGTACTGAAGTTGTCTGAAAATGAGAGCATCAGAAAGCTATTATGTCGGAGCAGAGATTTCATTTAAAATTCATCAAGTGCGCTGCTGCTGGAATCACATCATTATTCTGTCCGGCTCATTACCATCCACTTCTTGATGGCTGAGTTGGGTTTGGATGGCAGAGCGCAAGCCTGTCTGGGAACGAGCTGGCTTTGATAATCAGCACTGCGGTCTTGAATGAGGACTGGCCTCAGGTGTGGAAGAATAGGCTTGGGATATTGTAAGATTGGTCTGCAGGTCCAGGGCTAATGTGTGACGCAGCTCTGTATGCATTCCTTGAGAGAGTGCTGTCTGTGGATACAGATTACTAATAAGACTGACACAGGTGTGATCTCCATGTGATCGATGAAATCTAACTCTGGCATTCTAGCAGAGGCGGACAAAGTACACAACTCCATTACTTAAGTGAAAGTATAGATACTGCTGGTCAAATATCACTCCATTACAAGTAAAAGTTGTAAAGACAACTTATTTGACATCAAAACAAAAATTTAAAAAAATGCTGTACCGCTCTCGCTGTACTTTGATGTCATACACAGAATGGTCTGTGCAATGCTGCTACAACAGTTCTTCTGTGGCTTTATATGTAATATTTTCACGAACACAATTTAGCAAAATCAGACAATATTGTGTCTAATATAAACCACAATATTAACTTCTTATTATTGAATTGTTGTAAATAAATATCACATTTGGAACTGGTCAGTGCTCAAAAAATGCTGGGAAATCACTTTACTCCTGTAGCCCCAAGAGTGATTACTGATAAACTGTCTGAAAAAAAGACCGTTTTTAGAGAAGAAAAAAATCACCCACTGACTTTCAGAGCTGCTAATGACTTTCTACTTCGAGGATCTTGATAGAAATGTAGTGGAGTGAAAAGTACAATATTTGTTAGGGCTGCACGATAAATCGCATGCGATATTTAACGCGCATCTTATCAGTAAAGCCGGTTCTGTAATCAATATTGTGTCTAATATAAACCACAATATTAACTTCTTATTATTGAATTGTTGTAAATAAATATCACATTTGGAACTGGTCAGTGCTCAAAAAATGCTGGGAAATCACTTTACTCCTGTAGCCCCAAGAGTGATTACTGATAAACTGTCTGAAAAAAAGACCGTTTTTAGAGAAGAAAAAAATCACCCACTGACTTTCAGAGCTGCTAATGACTTTCTACTTCGAGGATCTTGATAGAAATGTAGTGGAGTGAAAAGTACAATATTTGTCTTTCAAATGTAGTGAAGTTAAAGTCATAAGTTTCCAGAAAAAATAATACTCAAGTAAAGTACAGATACTCAAAAAGTGTACTTAAGTACAATACTCAAGTAAATGTACTGTCCACCTCTGCATTCTAGTTGAATGTCCATAAAAGATGTTAAATGACAAATCAAGGTCATTATGCAAAATGAGCAATGTGAATGCCTGGAACGCCTCTGATTTTAAAAATGTAAATCTTTGATGACTTTGGGCATTAATATCCAATGCCATCCAGGTTTGAACTGGGTTAATGGAAAGAGACCATAAGAAACCTCAAGTGCTCTGATTATTTTATTTTCCACAGTACTCATGTTCCTGTTTTTCTCTGAGACAATATATGCCACCATTTTAAGAAGATATCCTGGGCTTTTCAGATATGACAAATGTCTGGCCATGTCAGCTTCCTCATTTTGGGTTTCAACATATTCATTAATTAAATACCCTGTGTAAGTGTTTTTCTTGTGCAAGACATGTTTAAAAGACAATAAGATATAAAAATATAAATTTGATTAACAGAATTGTTGAGTATTTTATGCTGAGTGTTGATATCTACATCTGTTGGCAACTCAAGCTTGGAGCCTGCATTGATTTTAATATAAATTCAGAAAGCAGTATTTTATGATTTTTTTTTTAAATAATTGTAAATCAGAAAAATTCTGGCACAAATGTACAATAAATTAAAAAATGATATAAACAAATCATTCTGTAATATCTTTCATGACATAATTGAGAAACTATACACAAAGTCTGGGTGATGGTTAAATTGCTCTAAAGTGACAGTTAATACACGTATAATGCTACAAAATGCATATTTGAATAATTTCTGAAGTATCATGTGACACTGATGACTGGAGTAATAGATTCTAAAAATTCAGCTTTGCCATCACAGGAATAAATTACATTTTAAAATATATTAAAATAGAAATGTTATTTTAAATTGTAATAATATTTCACAATATTACAGCTTTTACTGTATTTTTGATCAAATAAATGTAGCATTGATGAGCATAAGAGACTTTTTTTTCGAAAGCATTAAATGTTACAGACGTCATACTTTTTATTTTTTTTTTTACATGTATTTTTAGTGGAAGTTTGTTGTGTAGAAAAACACCCATTTACATTAAATGTTTTCAATGTTTGTATGATATCAGTTTACAGTTTGTCACTGGGGCAGTACTCTTTCAAAAGTTACTAATGCATACTTTTAAAGTACTAATAATGTGTACCATTTAGGGGTAAATAAAGTACAAACATGTACCTTTTAGCTTTTGCACCTCAGCACCGGCGCTACCTAAGGCCTCGGGCTTTGAGGCGGGGCCTCCATTCTATACACTAGTCCACCAGTCAAGACAGGCAGCAAAATACTAGCTTAATTGTTAATTGGATATAGTTGAATTGTCACTCATCTGCAGTTAAACCAATTAATTTTGCAGTTTCAAAGCGGGTCCTGCCTTCTGAATGTTTGCCGTAACGAAGACATCCTTCAGGTGCTGCGAAGCAAAAGGCTAATTATGCCCGGTTCAGACTACATGATTTTAGCCCGATTTTGCCACGATTTGCTTGACGTAGGGTGTCGTGGGGATTCGTAAACGACATTGGGCGTCGGGACGCAAGATTCCATCGTTTCAGTTCGTGTAGCGTGTCATAGTGGACGACAACCGATTCCGCGTCTGCAATGCTTCACGACATCACGACAGAAAAGACTTAGCATGTTTAATTTTTTTTCCGTCGTCCACGACGAGTTCTGTCACATTGGTGACGTTGACCAATAGCAGCACAGAAGCTCTTTCATATGCCGGGTTCAGACTACACAATATTTTTGTCGGTCACGATAGTCACTGTGTCAGATTACACAATTTTGACTCCTAAAATCTTGTCGTGTCGTGGACAAGAAACATGTCAGACTACACGTTGCTTCCCGACCATTCATCGCGTGCCGTCTTTAACGACGCGTGTGATGTCATCGAGAAGGCGGAACAAGCAACTGACTTCAGAAAACAAGAGTAAACATTGCTGAAGCGCTTCCGCTATAGTTCGCCAGCATTTTTCTTTCTTTGTTCTGTCGTGGTAGTCCCTCGATAGCACATCATACAGGCAGGAGTACTGTTGCCACAGCTCCACGAACCTTTCCTCCATCTCATAATTCCACCTAGCAGCACCATC